TAAATATTAATACTACATTTATTGAGACATCATGAGATTAATGCAATGTATCTTTAGACTCTACAATTATAAGAGGTGCTACAAGTGGTGGCCATTAGCTTCTAGATAGTTATTAGTACAGTGGAATGCTACTTGGGCAACCTTGGTCACTGAGATTGCTGCAATGCAATTTCAATTTCATCTCTATGGGCCAGCAGTTTTGCGAGTTTTCTGCACTATATGACATCCACTAGGGTTCCCCACATGAGATTAACACCATCTATTGAAAAAACATCAAACTATTGTTCTTTTCCTGGAGTACGTACACATTTGTGTGTGTGTGTGTGTTTGTGTGTATATGTGTAATCATATATAATTTTTTTATTCCACAGATTGTATATATGTGGAATTTCAGCATTTATTCTATTTTATAACTTGCTTTATAACGTATTTTTTCTTTTCCAGTTTATTTTATACAGTTTTCTTTATGAGTGTATATGCTATCTGTGGATCCATTTATAATTATTTATAATGGACAGGATTTTAAAGTGAAATTTCTGGCTCAAAGGATATATTCATTTCAATATTTACTTTGTTAGGTTTTTATAGTAGTAGTACCATATTAATTTGATTTTAAAATACAATCAGTATGGAAAGATGTAATATTAGAAGTATTCTTTCTGTATGTTCACAAACCCCAAATACTCAGTTCTTCTTCCCCAGGGTAACAACCATTTTTAGCGGTTTCTTATGTTCTGTTCCAAAGAAGGGTTTTCAATACACAAATTATGTGTGTATATCATACTTCATTCAAGACACGGATTTTATACTAAAAGTCTGTGGTGCCAAAATGAATAATCTTACAGTAGTAAGCATATTAGTACAATTAAACTTGGTAGTATTTTTCATCAGTTATTGATATATGAAATCATGCTACATCTTTCAAATTTAAGAATTTTCTTCTATTTTATTTACATGCAAAAAATCATACTATACATGTGCTTTCCTAGCTATACTCTGTAAATCTATGCAAGCTTTCTTTATCAGTTCATAAATACAAGCCTCACTCCTTTTTCTAAATATTTTTTGTATTAGTTCACCAGAATTAATTTGATCTTTTATGAGTACTGAAATTTTTCTATGGTTTCATGATTACAAACATTTGCTGCACTAAAAAAATTGTATTCATACCTTTATATATGTCTTAAGACTCTGGTAAATATCACTAGAGAATAAATTCTGAGCAAAGTTGGTGAAACTTACCATACATGTTCCTTTGTAATGTTGTAGTTCCTATCATATTTTTTATTAAGTAACTCTGTACTCTCATAATTAGTGTAAGAGATTTTCTGTTTTCTCTTCATTTTATATATATTTAATACTATCAATTTTCTAATTTAACCAATCTAATAAGTAAAAGTTTATTTTTATTATTATTGTTATTATTTATATTTGAATTTTCCAGATTACAAGTAAAGCTTTATGTGTTCATTTCCCTTCTAATATATTGTCTACTAACATTATTTACTTCATTCATTTAGGAGGGATTTGCTTATGTATTTCTTACTGATCTGTAAAAGTATGTTGTTAATAGTGAAGGGACATCCACTTTTGATTATATATGTTGTGAATATTTTCTCCCAATCAGCTGTTCATCCTATTATTTATGGTGTTCATATATGAATTTATACTCATTCATTTGTTCATTCAAAGAGTATCTGTTGAGTATGTGTAAGTGCTAGAGATACATTATAAATGAAACAAACTCACTGTGAGCATGGAGCTTATATCTAGTCAAGGAGACATTCATTAAAAAAATAAATAAAGGCTATAGCATGTTAGAAGTTCATAAACCTCAAGACAAAATGTAAACCAAAGTTGGTGATAGAAGTGACTGGGTATTGTTACATTTTGATGATTACGGGAAAGTATCTCTGATAACAATTGAGCAGTGACCTCATTGCATTAAGGGAGTGAGTCATGTGAAGACCCTGAGGTGGGAGCATAACTATTACGGCAGAGAAACGTAAGTGAGGACAGTGTAGAATAAGTAGCATGAGTGAGTGACGCTGAAGAGGAAATGAGGTCAGGTTGCTAATGGACGGGTCATCTAGGGCTTTGTGGGTCATATTAAGGGCTTTTATTCCTGAGTGAAATGGGAGTGAATGGAAAAAATAACATGACTGATTGTGCGTTAATTTTTTAAAACAAAAATTACAGCTCTTACTTTCAAACAGATAATAGAGGAACAAGGATGAAAGCAGACAGGCCAATTATGACACTATTTAAATAATACAGGGTAGAGATGTTGATGGCTTGGATTTGGGTGATAATAGTGCAAATGATTAAGAAAAATATGGTTGGGTGCTGAATATATTTTCTAGGTCAAAGCAGGGAGATTTTCTTGTGGAAAAGTGTAGTGTCAAGGGTGGCTCCAAAATCTGGAGCAACTAAAAGATAGGACAGATTTTGGAAAAGGGAGGCTTGGTGAGGAAAGGAAAGAACATGATTTTCTGGTTATGTATTTTTTGGTGAAATGGGATATTTATCAGTTGAGAGGAAGAAGTTGTAAGGAAGGTTGGAGACCTGGATTACAGACAGATTTCCTTGCTTGCTTACTTGTTTTTATTGTTTTCTACTTATGAAGATGTGTACATCCAAAGAACCTAAAAAGAAATTATATATACTTCTAGTATTTTACTTGTTTTACTCTTTATATTTGCATCTTTAATTCACCTAAATTTTTGTGCATTGTATGAGGTGAGGAACTTTTTTTTCTAAATTAATATCTAGTTGATCCAACTCCATTTTTCCTCACTGATTTAAAATTGCTTATACAATTTTTAAAGTTTGTCAATATATATATTTTTTTTCTGGAATGTGTGATTTTAACATTTATATAGTGCAATGAAAATCACCATAATAAATCATGTATGGGGCCGGGGATTTAGCTCAGTGGTTCCACTGCCTGCCTCACAAGTGCAAGGACCTGAGTTCGATCCCCAGTACAAAAAAAAAATCATGTATGAGGTTATCATAGACAGTAGCAGAAAAAATGTTTCAATTGGCAGATATCTGAAATATAAGTATTTAAAAAACGAATTTTCAGTTTTTCTATATGGCCTACAAGTATATTTTAGTTTGCAAATTCTACCTAAATTCGGAAAGTGATAGAGATGATAAAGAAAATAATGTAAAATGACCTATTATTTCTTTCAGGTGGTATTATTAGATCTTAGAATAGTGTCAGGTTGAACATATAAGGTTCTATAGCTCAGTTATTCTACAAGACCCAGGCAGTCTTTGCTTTGCACAGTTCTAATACATACAAATTTCAGTTGTAACAACTTAAATAGAACCAATCCAAAATAATATAAATCAAATCTCAGTTATTATGGTACATTAGCTTTTCAGTCCACAAATCACCAATAAGGTTGTAAGAGATTGTATCATGATCAGTGAACAGTCATTTCACTTGTTCCAAATTCTGTCAGTGACAACTAGTCATGCATCTGTTCAGTGTAAGCATGCAGTTGTGTTGCCTCCCTGCCTCCCAGTCATAAACCAGTGTGGTATTTTACCAAATGAACAGTTAAAAGATAAAATTGGTAAATAAAAAAGAAAGTCCAGGGGGCAAAAAGGAAAATAGGGCTGGAGATGCCTCTCAGTTACAGACCAAATGGTTAAAAAGTGTGAGGGCCTGGGATCAATCCTCAGTACAAAACAATAAAACATTTAAAAATAGAAAGTAATAATACTAGAAGTGAGATTTTAATCAATTTAAATAGGGTTACAGAAAAAAAAACAACAGTAGGAATGTAGACGGGGTCATCATTTGCAAAACTGTAGATATGTTTCCAAGGAATACAGTAAAGGCAAAGTCAGCAAAACAGAGGATAAAAGTGGCACTGATGAAAAGGACAAAGATTCAGAGGAAGTGATGCATGAGAAGAGCAGTGAGCACTGTGGTTGCGTTGCATGTTTTCATTGGTATTAGGCAAAGCTTGTATTAACTGTGAAAGTGGTATGACTTTTTCTAAGGCTCTATTAGAAGAAAAATGCAAATATTCGTTGAGCAAAAATATGTGAATTCTTTTATAGTAATTGAAAAATTAAGATTTGTGTATGTGAAACCACTATCAACGTGAAAGGATAAAAACCTTCTTTTGGCCAAGGATTTAGCTTAGTAACACTGCACCTGCCTCACAAGCACAAGGTCCTGAGTTTGATCCCTGGTACAAGGAAAAAAAAAAAAGAAAGAAAACGAACCTTCTTTTATCTGAGAGCCTGAGGCAGGATTCAAATTTCAAGCCCAGCCTAGGCAACTTAGTGATGTAGCGAGACCTTGTTTTAAAAACTAAACAAGAGGGGTAATGTAGGTTAGTACAAAGGCCCTAGGTTCAATTCTCAGTACAAAAAAGAAAGGACACTAAGGGTAAGGGGAGGGAGAAGAGAAGAAAGAAGAGGGGAGGCAAGGGAGGCTAGGGGAAGGGAGGAAAGAGGAGCAAGGCAAGGCTGCTTTTTGCAGTAGGACTTCCCATATCAATTGGTTGACATGTTTATCGTAAATGATTTGCATTGTAGCATAGCAGACATAATGATCACAGATTCTGAAATCAGTTGAGTTCAAATTCAGATTCCACCAGTTTCTAGTTGTATCACTGTAACATGGAGATTAAAACAGTATTTTTCTGTTAGGGTTTTTAGAGGTTAAGGAAAATTACCTATCTCCATAGCACAGAAATAGCATGAACTCTAGGCTCATGCTTTTTTGCTTCAAATTAATTCTACCATTCTTACTAATTACCTCATGCTTGACCTCTCTAAGATTCAGTGTTCTCATTTATAAGTGGGGATGACAAAATCTAACTCACAGGCCTGTTCTGATTAAATGCAGCAATTTATGTAAAGAACTTTGCAGAGTGCCAATATATAGAAAAGCTCTATAAATAATAATACGTTGTTATAAAATTTAGGTCATATAGAAACTTCAGTTTTATCTTTTTACTCATATTTTTTAGGGTGAACCTGGTCTGCCCGGAATCCCAGGGAACCCAGGTATCAAAGGTTCTACGGGAGTTATTGGTTTGCCAGGATTACCCGGAACACCTGGAGCAAAAGGACAACCTGGCCTTCCTGGGTTCCCAGGTAGGTATTCCTTGCAAGTTCTTCTTTCTGTATCAGCTCTAACCAGTGATACATACAACCTTATTTGGCAGAGTAGCATTCTGTTTCCCAATCAGACACATGATGTCAAACTAATTCTTTACCTTCTTCTTGCCCATATGTCTTTCTGTGTAGAAAGAGAATAAGTATTACTGATTCAGCAGGACAAATCCTGCAGGCAGAGAGACTTGTTTGGCGAAGCATTTTTCAATCTTTGACTGCTAGCCATAAATCAATTAAGAGGCCTTACTATTTTTATAGGTGATAATATACTGTCAGGCCCTAGCTTGCTGCTGATTCTCTTAGAAAGTTGTACGCAAGCACACATTTGGTGGCTGTTGGTAGAACAATCATATTGCTCCTTTGGATGACAAAGACAGTCATTCATGGAAAAGAAACTAGCATTATAGCCACAAAGATACTCTGAAATAGATAATTATAGTACGTATTTATTCATGATTTTTTAAAATTTTTGCTTGTTTTTTTAATTACACAGTGGCATGGATGAATGGGTTTTCAGATATCTTTTCCTTAATATTTTTATTGAAGTGTGAATTACATATGATAAAACGTACAAAACTATAGATGAGTTTTTATCTATGTACGTATCCCATGAACCCACCAAACATAGCAAAATATAAAGTAATTCTTTCACATGATAAAGGTTACTCATGCCTCTTTATAGGGAACCCTCCCCTCACTCCACCTCAAGATTACCATTATTATAACTTCTATTGTCAACAATTAATTGTGCTTATTATGGAAATTTATATAAATAGAATCATACACTATGCATCCTTGGGTCTATAAACTCCTTTTATTTTGTAAGTAGGAAAAATTTATTGAGAGAAAGAAAGCTTTTGTCTAAGAAAGTGGGTTGACTGGGATCCTATTTCCCTGGGGGGTTTGATGGATCAAGGCCAGGAGGTGAGGTGGGTTCAAGTTGGGACAAAACTATAAAACCCAATGGAAAATTACAAAGTGGACATGAGGTGGGGCAAAACCATGACCAGCCAATAAGATTACAAGTACGGTCACCCAGACAATATTGATTAAATGGGGATCGAATGGGAAAATAAGTCACATACAAGGAATTTCTCATGTAGAATATCAATCACTGCTATCTATCTCTAGGGGAAGTAGTACCTCTTTTCCTTTTTTATAATGCTAACCAGTGGATGTGCCTTAATTGTTCTCCATGTTGGCTCCTCCCTCTCTTGGCTCTTTGAGGACTGATGTCTTGAGGGCCCTGTCTGCTTATGAAATGATCTAATTAATTTACCTATCTACAATAATCCTAGCATTCTGGTATTTGACACAGGATCTCACTATGTAGTTGAGACTGACCTGGAACTCACTGTGTAGCTCAGGATGGTCTCAAACTCACAGCGATCCTCCTGCCTCAGCCTCCTGAGTCCTGGTAGTATAGGTGTGGGCTGCCATGCCCAGCAACTCCCAGAATTCTGGAAGGCCAAGTCAGGAGGATTACTAGTTGCAGCCCAGACTGGGCAATTTAGCTTCTTATAATACCTTACCTCAAAATAAAAAGCAAAAAACAGCTTATGATGTAGTTCAGTATGCAGGCCCTTGGTTCAGTTTCTCTTGCTATGAATTAATGAGTGAATGAATGAATGAAATGTTACTTTTAATAAAGTCCAGTGTTTCTGTCTTTTTTTTTTCATGGTTATTTTTGTGTCTTACCCTATGCATTTTGTTTACTTGAAGTTATGAAAATATTTTAATTTTTTCTAACTTTTAATGCTTAAACTTTCAAGGTTAGGTTTATAATATTTGTTTTGTATTATTACTTGTTTTAAATTTTATTGTTGCACATTAGTTACACAGAATAGTGAGTTCCATTTTGTCATGTTTGTACATGCATGTAACATACCATCACTTCCCTTCTCCTTTCTCCTCCTCTCTCCTCCAGATCTCCTTTCTCTTTTCTAATAGTCTCCTTCTAATTTCATGTCACCTATATTTAAAAAATATATTCCTTAGATTCTACATGAGAGAAAGCATGCTATATTTAAGTTATGATCTATCTTGAATAAAAATATTCTTATAGTGTGAGATAGCACAGAAGGTTTATTTTTTCCCACAAATATATTCAATTGCTCTGAATTTTTTTAAAGAAAGAGCTTTAGTTCTTTGGATAAATCACAATTACTCCTTTGTCAGAAATTCAGTCACATAGGTAGAACTCTGCTCCGTTGCTTTATTTTCCCTTCTTTGATTTAAAAAATATTAATTTTTTTATTAGTGCAGGTTTGCAGTACACAATTAGTACATCAATCATGGGGATTATACAACAGATCTATTTTATAATCTTGCTAAAATACACCATTGTCTGAATTTTGTAAATTTACATTAAGACTTGAAACACGAGTACTAAACCTTTGTTCCAGTTTTTTAAAGCTTGGTTTGGTCTTTTGTATGAAGTTGGGAATCTATTTATCAATTTCCATTAGAAAATGCCTGCAGGTATTTTGATTAAGATTGCTACAAAATCTAGATAACTGATCCAAATTAACATTTTAACAGTCTTCCAATTCAATGGATATTTTAGCTCTCCATTTACTTAGGTATTTAACTTAACTCACTTGAGTATGTTCTCCAGGTATGCTCAATATGACACCCTTTTCATTTTATAACTCTTGATCACCTTTTGTTAAATTTATCCCTGGAAATTTGATGTCTGCAGGTGAGATTTGAGATGAAATTTCTTTTCCACCCTCATTTTCCAGTTATTTTTGGAAATATATAGATATAATTGATTATAAAATCTTCATCATGTATGCAAAGAAATTGTTGGTTCCATTTATTAATTCTAAGAGTGTTTATAGGTTTTCTTGATTTTATAAACTAACATATCATCTCAAATATTTTTATTTCTTTTTGTTATTCATACCTTTTATTTCTCTTTCTTTCTTAATTATACTGGCAAGGACCTCCAGGATAACATTTAATAGAAGTGGTTGTAGTCAACATCCTTATCTTTTTCCAAAACTAAAAACAACTGTTTGTTATTTTTCTATTAAATGCAATGTTGTACATCTTATTAAGACATTTCTTTCCTATTCTTAATTTATTGAGAGCTTTTTCATCATTTACTGATAGCTTTTTTTAAATCAAAATGAGTGAGTTTTAGCAAATCTTTTTTTCTGTACTTTAGGAAATAGATTTCTCTTTTATTTTTTTTCTGTTAATTGAATTGCACTGTCATTTTTTTGTACAGTCATATTCTGGGGATAAACTTCAAGATGGTCATGTTGCATATATTACTTTTAAGTATTGCTGGTTTTACACTGATTTTTTAAACTTGTCTATGGCTATGAGAGGTGCTCTTCTGTGATTTCCCTTTTTCACAGTGTCCTTATCAACATTTTGGTATAGAGATTTGTTGCCATCATGGGCTGGGAAGTTTTGTGTCTTTCTCTGTTTTACTTTAAATATTTCATAATATTTAACAGTTGTGGAATCCAGCCTGTGGTCTTCTTCGTAGAAATATTTTAAATAAAAGAGTCAGTCTTTAATAGATATATCATCACACAAACTGTCTATATGTTTGTTTGTTTGTAATGGGGATTGGACCCAGGGCCTTTACATGGAGCTGCATTCCTATACTTTTTTATTTTTCAGTTTGAGATAGGGTCTTGCTAAATTGCCCAGGCTACACTTCAAATTGTTATCTTGCTGCCTAAGCCTCCCAGAGTGCTAGGATTGCAGGCATGCACTACCATGCCTGACTGAGATTTTTTTCATTTTCATGTTGATTTTGATAAATTGTTTTGCCAGGAGATTGGCCGTTTCATCTAAGTTGTCAAATCCATTGACATCTAGTTGTGAACAATACTCTTGTTTTGTGCTTTTAATTTAGGTAAGATATGTTGTGAAGTCTGCACTTTTATAATTTTTTGAGGGCTATCATTGTTGTGTGCCTGTCATATGTGAGGTCCTGATTTTGATCCCCAACACTACAAAAGAACAATTTTGAAAACAATTCTATTAGCACATGTTTGCAGTCCATAATGTTTTCATTCCTTGTGTGCAGTTTGTACATGTACAGAGCGCATCACAATTCACTTTTTCATCCCCTTTTCCTCTCCTTCCTTCCCCTCCCTCCATCTCTTAATCCCTCTGCCCTTTGAGAAAGATCTGTCCCCCTGCTTCGTATTATCTGTCTTTTATTTTGCTCTTTGTATTTTGGATTTCTCACATAAGGGAAACCATGTGATATTAAAGCTTGTGTGTCTGATTTATTTTACTTAACATTATGGTCTCAAGGTGCATCCATTTTCCTACAAATGACCCAAGTTTATCTTTCTCAATGCAGAGTAGTGCTTCAATGTGGGTAAATACCACAAAAAAGCAAAATATTTTGATTGGAGTAATTTTTGTTTTCTCTCCTCTTGATCAATCTTATTAGATATTCATTAAGTTTCAAGTATTAAATTAATTGTTTAAACTTCTGTATTTTATTTTTCCTACTTTTTGTTTTGTAATCTACTGGTTCCTGCTTATGTCCTTCTTATTTCATACCTTCTACTTCTACAGATGTAATTTGCTATTCTTTTTTTTTTTTTTTTTGGTACCTGGGATCGAACTCCGGTCCTTGCGCTTGTGAGGCAGACCACCGAACACTGAGCTAAATCCCCAGCCCTAATTTGCTATTCTTTTCCTAGCTTTTTTCGATGGAAGTTTCAGCTTTATCTTATAATAGGTGTGTTTGACTCTTTAAATTTCCATGTATAGTGTAATTGAATCCCACAAATTCTGTTCTTTTGTGCTTTATCATTCAATTTAAAAATTTTTCGAATTTCTCTGTTAATATTCACTTTTTTCATAGGTGACTTACACTGATATTGTTAATTTATAAATTCAGAGGGTTTTCCAAACATCTTTATGCTATTGAATTTTAGTTTTATTCTATTGTGGTCAGAATTCATACTTTTAGTTAGGTATGGTGGTACATGCCTGTAATTTCAGCTATCTGGGAGGCTGAGACAGAAAGATTAAAAGTTCATGGCCAGAATGGGCAACTTAGCAGCTTAGTAAGATTCTGTCTCATAATTTAAAATGGTTGGGGATATAGCTTGGTGCAAATACCCTGGATTCAATACCAGGTACCACAGAAAAGACAAAAGAGTAAATGTATACTTTGTACAATTTAACTATTAATGCTAATGGAAGCATGTGATATGGCACGATTTATGGTCTGCCTTGGTGAATTTCCCCTATTCACTTAAAAGTCATTTATATTCTGTAGCCACCCATGGTGGAACACACCTGAAATCTCAGCACTCTGAGAGGCTGAGGCAGAAGGATTGCAAGTTCCAGTCTGGCTTGTCCAATTTAGGGACTTAGTTAGAGCTTGTCTCAAAAAATTAAGCAGGGCTGGGTGATGGCCTGCTCTCCAATACCAACAATAATAATAATTATAAATTGTGTGATTACAATATATTCTATAAATTTCCATTGAGTCAAATTAGTTTGTAATATTGTTAAAATCTTGTGTGTCCTTACCAACTTTTCATCTAATTGTTTTTTCAATTACTGAAAGGTATATATTAAAATCTCCAGTATGATTGTGGAGTTTCTAACTTCTCTCTATTTTTGTCTAGCTCTTTTTATATACACTCAGGAAAGTTCGGTTTTCTTGAAGAGATGACACTTCTCTGTATATAATTATATAAAGGCCCTGTTTATTATTAATACTTTTTCTTTAGAGTCCTCTTTGTATGATATAAATATACATATATCAGATTCTTTGGGGGGGGTTGCACTGGGGATTGAGCCAAGCAAGGACCCTCGCACTGAGCTACATCCCTAGCTTTTTTTTTAGTTTTGTTTTGAGACAGGATTCACTAAGTCCCTAAATTGCTCGGATTAGGCTCAAACTTGCAATCCTCCTACCTTGATTGCCAGAGTACTGGGATCACAGATGTTTGCCAGCATACCTGGCTCTGTAGTATTCTTAATTTACCACATTCTACATTATATTAACTTAACAACACTTCACATACTGTGTAAGATAATTAAAATAGTATAATTCTGTTTATGATCTTTGATTGTGTTCATATACTTTTATAGAGATAATTCATCTTACAAATAATTGCAATTTTTGCTGAAAACAATCTGCTCACTTTTAATGGGTTTAATATGAGAAGCAAAACTATCTTTTATACCTACCTACATATTTTCAACTTTAATATTCTAACTTCATGTACATCAATTTGCTATAATTTTCTGAATTCTACTCCCTGAACCAGCAATTCTATGCCTTGGTATTTACCCAAGATAATTTAAGATATATGTCCACAAAGAGACATTTGCAGAAAAGGTCATAACCATTTCCTTAATAAGAGGTAAAATCTGTCAATCACCCAAATGTCTAAGGTCAGATGAATGGATTAAAAATTTCAAATTGAAACTGTATAAATTTTACCACAGTAATATAGTGGTAATTATTTTTATATTTATGAATATATAATAATGTTATTCTCTGGATAAATACATTTAAAATTTAAGATTATTCTTAAGAATATCCAGCAGTCATCTGTTTGGGGAGTTTCCTTATGTTAATGCTATAAATTCTGTTTGAATTGTAGCTCTCAAAGCAATGTGGCTTTCTTTATTTTTAAATTGAGCTTTTTGTTCCAGGAACCCCAGGCCTTCCTGGACCAAAAGGAATTAGTGGTCTTCCTGGGAATCCTGGCCTTCCCGGAGAACCTGGTCCTATTGGTAAGTGTGAATATTAAGACATTGCTGTTCTGTAAAATTAAAGCTTATCCAACTCAATTTGGGAAAGTCCTATTCAGCTGTAAACATTTCAAGAAGAAGAGATGTGATAATTTATTTAGCATTGTATGTTAGGCACAAAGGGAACAACTTTTAATAAAAATTATTTAATGTTATAGGGCCTTATTTTCTAGCCTCAGATTTTATTGAGAGTCAATTCAAGTTCCCTTTTATAGAAGATACATGCTGAGCTTTTTTTGTTGTTGTTGTTGTTTTTGTTTTTTTTAGAATGGCAGGCTGGAGAAAAAAATTTTTCATTGACTTTTAAACTAAATCACCTATGTTGACCCATATGAGCCCTCTCTAATATAACCTGTTCCCTTGCACACTATTTTTTGTATATTCTAAATCCATATTAAAATGAAAAAAGCTTCAGATATTGAGTGATTATGTTGTTTCTTTATGTCATTATTGCTCTTTGTTCTTTATTTTCATAAGCTTTCGTGATTTACAGAACCCCCCAATTTAAACACCAATCCAAAAATGGGCATCTGAGATGAATACATACTCAGATGAATAAGTACAAATGGCAAGTAAATACAAGAAAAAATGTTCAACCTCACTGGTCATTTGAAAGATGTAAATTAAAACAACACTGAGATTCCATTTCACTCGAGAAAGAATAGCTGCTATCAAGAAATCAACTAAAAACAAATGCTGGCAGGCTGTTGGGGGGGCACCTTTTCTACTGTTGGTGCGATGACAGACTGGTGCAACCACTGTGGAAATTCCTCAAAAAACTAGAGTTAGAGGTCCCATTTGGCTCAGCTATTCTCCTTCTTGATATCATCTTGAAAAAATTAAAAGTATCATACCACAGCAATATATGTGCACCTGTGTTTATGGCACTGCAGTTTGTAATAGCTAAATCGTAGAAACAGCCCAAATGCCCATCAATTGATGAATGGGTAAAAAAAATGTGGGATTTGTTTTTATATACAGTGGAGTTACCACTCAGCCATAAAGAAGGATAAACTTGAGACATTTCTAGGTAAATGGATACACCTTGAGGCCATACTCTTACAAGAAATAATTGGAATACACATGTGTAAATATTACATTGTCTCTGTGGTGTAAGAAACTGAAAATGTAAATAAGGACCAAAATGTATAATAGATATTGTGAAATAGGAAGAAATTGTTCAAAGGGAAAGGGGAACTAGGGATGGGAAAGGGAGAAAGGAAGGAAGGGGACAGAAAAAAATGACGAAAGAAGGATAAAATGGAAATAAAGCTTTGTAAATAAAGAGGGGAAGAGGGGTGGAAGGGAATGGGAAAAAAGAGGTATCAAGATATATCATGTATACAAGACACAAATTCATCATGATGAATGTGATCATTGCATCTATCTAAATTGTACCAAAAAATGTATGAGAGTTCTAAAAGAAAATTTGTGATTTAAAGAAGTATTCCAAAGCACTTTGTGTCTTTTCAAAAGTACTATTTGAAGCTAAAATTTTAAAATTTAGGTATGTGAACAGAAAGGGAACTGAAAAAATGAAAGTAACTTGCTGTAATCTGTTCTTTAGGTGGTGGAGGTCATCCTGGGCCCCCAGGACCTCCAGGTGAAAAAGGAACACCGGGTGAAGATGGTATCCCTGGACCAGCTGGACAGAAAGGTGAACCAGGTGCTGTATGTTTTCATTTTTCTTAGGTTTCTAAATTTCTCCTGGTCTATTTTTAACTTGACCTTCTTCATCCACAATGAAATTATGTCTTCTTTTTTATTTTCTAAGCAACCATATATTTTCTCCTTCCTAATTAGCTTCCTTCTCTTTGAGAGAATATGATCTCATACGTGTAGATCAGGTTGCTGCCTTATTACAAAAAAAAAAACTTCAACACTGTTTAGACCATTTCTTTACATCAAGAAGTTTCCCAGTTTTTAAAAATTTCTCTGTTTTTCAATATGCAATTAATATTCCATTTATATATTTTCATAAGGCATATTTTGGGGGAGAAGCTACAAGTGATTGAGCCCAAAGCCTTCATGCTGAGTTACACTCCCAGTCTTTTTTGTTTTTTATTTTGAGACAGAGTCTCACTAAATTGCTGAAATGCCCAGATTGGGTTCAAACTTGGAACTTCCTCAGGCTTCCAGAGTGTTGGGATTTCAGGTGTGCACCATCACTTCTAGCTATGATATAAATATTTAAAGATATATTTGACACATACACTCCCATTGTTTTTTATTTTGAGACAGAGTCTCACTAAATTGCTGAAATGCCCAGATTGGGTTCAAACTTGGAACTTCCTCAGGCTTCCAGAGTGTTGGGATTTCAGGTGTGCACCATCACTTCTAACTTCTAGC